CGGCCTCCCAAAGTGCTGGGATTACAGGTGTGAGCCACTGTGCCTGGCCTCTTTTACTTATAGTCACTCAGTGTATGGTTATTTAGTATAGAATGTGAATTAAGACATTAGGAAATTGTTTAAGACTATACATACAATTACAGATTTATTATAGCCAAAGAATACAAATTAAGCCAACAAACAAAGAGAAACATAAGGCCAGGTCTGAGAGGGGTGCAAACATAAAGTTTCCATCATACTTTCGTCATATCAATGTATGGCAGTTGATGCATGGAGTTGTCATGCATATTGGGTTCGGGTCAACCCAGGAAGTTCACCTGAGTCTGTGATGCTCAGGGTTTTTTTTTATCAGGGCTCGATTGTATACTGCGCATGTAATTGATGTTTAGTTCCCAGCCTTTCTGGAGGATCAGCATAAAACCTTTTGTCTCCTGTTCTCTGGAAATCAAAACTGATATGGCATGTCCTGAAGCCCCCATCATAAACCACATTGTTGGACTTTCCAGTGACCAAAGCCTCTTGGCAAACAAAGAGGCTTGAATTTGTTCATTAATTCATTTGTTGAATTCTTTGTTCATTAATTCAACAACTACTTAGTGAGCACTTTATATATTCCTGACAATTAATAGATAATGAGCAAATGTAAATTATTGTGCCTTTACAGAGATTCAGTTTGTTTCTCATATCTACATCTATGGCAGGATGATTCATATTCTGGTTAGGGTGTCAGCTAAAAAACAATTTACTCTAGTAAGAACATGTTGTGGTAGGTTATAAAAATGGTTCCCAAGTTTCTCCTTTGTTACATTCATATCATTGTGATGCAGTGTTGCAGATCTTTCCATCAGGCAGTAGAGCCTGTTACTCCAACACCTTGAATCCAGATCCGGGTTGGCCTTGCAACTTGCTTTGACGAATATGCTATCAGCAAATATGTCAGGGCGCTCACCACAGGATACTTCTGACACTCAGTGTTAGTAATTTACCCTCACTCTACGTGTATTAATACTTTTTCCTTGTCGACTGTAGAGCTTCTTTTACTTCCTAATTTCACAGGCAGTGGATAAGGAAGTTTAACATGAGAGTCATAATGCCACAAAATATGGATGCTGGCTTTTCTTGCGCTTGAAACACGGTAGATTCAGGCTTAAGTCCATGTAAGAGAGTGCTCCAAAGACAACGGTGACAGTTGTCAGGTGGAAGACACCTGTGGAAAAAGACCCATAGCAGAGGACAAGCTCAGGATGATGGAAGACACGTGTGTCCTTGAAGATGACGATTGGCATAGTGACATTCAAGTAAACTCCAGCATAGATTAGCAACTATTTTTACTACATCTTCCCACTCCATCCACGTTTCAGCTCCCCATACATCCCACTAAGAACCAACTCCACCATTCAATACAATCCTGCATTCATCCTTCAAGCCCGTGTGTGACTCAATTTTTCTGGGATGCTGGACAGGAGCTCGGGATACAGAAAGCAGTCGCACTGGCCCTTTGCCCTTGCAAAACGACAGAGGGTCCATTGAGCTGGTTAACATTTAAGCTGTCTGCGAATGGCAAGGCTAAAAGAGCATTGTAATATTGGGGCTACAGGCACCCACCCCTAGACACTACCATGTTGCCAGAGCCCAAAGTACTTGTCCCAGCTCCAGCACCTGACTGTCTGTGTGCTTCCCCTTCCATCAGGGGTTTGAGCAGCAGTGGTGACAGAAAAGGTGAGCCACACCCCTGTCGCTCGGGGGATTAGAGAACTCTTCTGTTTCAATAGCACTCAACAGTTAGTTTTGTTAACCCTTGCCCCACTTGTTCCCTTCTGCCCTAGTATTTCCCAGTGTCTGGTTTTCCCATCTTTGTGTCTCTGTGTCCTCAAAATTTAGCTTGCACTTATACATGAGAACATGTGGTATTTGCTTTTCTGTTCCGGTGTTAATTCGCTTAGGATAATGGCCTCTAGCTTTAGCCAAGCTGCAAAGCACCTGAGTTTTGCATTTATATGGCTGTGTGGTATTCCATGATGTATATGTACCGTATTTTCTTTATCCAATTCACCGCTGATGGGCACTTAGGCTGATTCTATATTGTTGCTGTTGTGAATGTTGCTGTGATGAACACACAAGCACATGTGTCTTTTTTGTAGAAAAATTTATTTTCCTTTAGATACTATCCAGTAATGGGGTTACTCAGTCAAATGATAGTTTGTTTTAGTTCTTTCAGAAATCTCCAGACTGCTTTCCACAGTGACTGAACTAATTTACATTCCAGCAGTGTATAAGCATTTCCCTTTCTCCACGTTCTGGCCAGCATGTATTGCTTTTTGACTTGCTAATAGTAGACATTCTGACTGATACGAGATGGTGATCTCATTGTGATTTTGATTTGCATTTTTCTGATGATTAGTCTTGTTGAGCTTTTCTTCATGTGTTTATTGTCTTCTTGTATGTCCTCTTTTGAGAAGTGTCTGGTCATATTGTTTGCCCACTTTTTAATGGGGTTACTTGTTTTTTGCTTGCTGAGTGATTTAAGTTCTTTATACATTATGGAAATTAGACTTATTGGATGCATAGTTTCTGAGAATTTTCTCCCATTCTGTAGGTTGCCTGTATACGCTGTTGATAGTCTCTTTTGCTATGCAGAAGGTCTTTAATTTAATTAGGTTCCAGTTGTCAAATTTTTTGTTGCTATAGCTTTTGAGGACTTAGTCATAAATTATTTCCCAAGGCTGATGTTCAGAATGATGCTTCCCAAGTTTTCTTCCAGGATTCTTATAGTTTGAGGTCTCACATTTATCTCTTTAATACATCTTAAGTTAATTTTTGTATATGGTAAAATGTAGGTGTTCAGTTTTATTTTCTTGGTATATTGCTAGCTTATTATCCCGGCACCATTTATTGAATAAGTCCTTTCTCCATTGCTTACTTTTGTTGACTTTGGTAAAGATCAGATAGCCGTGTGTGTGTGTGTGTGTGTGTGTGTGTGTGTGTGTGTGGCTTTCTTTCTAGGTTCTCTATTCTGGTCTATGTTACTGTTTTTGTACTAGTGTCATGCTGTTTTGGCTACTGTAGCCCTATAGTATGTCTTGAAATCAGATAATGTGGTGCCTCCAGCTTAGTTTTTTTGCTAAGGATTGCTATGGCTATTTGGGTTCTTTTCCAGTTTCATATGAATTTTAGAATAGTTTTTCTAATTCTGTGAAAAATAGCATTGTGATTTGACAGGAATAGCACTGAATCTGTGGTTTGCTTGGGGTAGTATGGCCATTTTTAATGATACTGATTATGCTAATCCATGAGCATGGACTGTTTTTCCATTTGTTTATGTCCTCTCTGATTTCTTTGAGTAGTGTTTTGTAATCCTCTCCTTGTAGAGATATTTCATTTACTTGGTTAGATGTATTCCTAGATATTTTTTTGGTAGCTATTATTAATTGAATTGTATTCTTGATTTGGTTCTCAGTTTAACATTACTGATGTTTAGAAGTGCTAGTGATTTTTGTACGTTGATTTAGTAACCTAAAAATTTAGTGAATTCATTTATCAGCTCCAGGAGCCTTTTGACAGAGTCGTTAGAGTTATCTAGATATAGAATCATATAGTCCACAAAGAGAGATAGTTTGACTTCTTCTTTTCCTGTTTGAGTGCCTTTTGTTTCTTTCTCTTGACTGATTGCTCTGCTTAGGACTTCTAGAACTATGTTGAACTATGGTGAGAGTGGGCACCCTTGCTTGTTCCAGTTTTCAAGGGGGAATGCTTTCAGATTTTGCCCATTCATTATGACATTGGCTGTGAATTTGTCATAGATTGCACTTATTTTGAGGTATGTTGCTTTGATGCTTAGTTTGTAGAGAATTTTTATAATGAAGGGATGTTGCATTTTATTGAAGACTTTTCCTGCATCTATTGAGATCGTGTGGTTTTTGTTTTAAATGCTGTTTATGTGGTGAATGACATTTCATGATTTGCATGTATTGAACCAACCTTGCATCCAAAGAATGAAACCTACTTGATCATGGTGAATTAACTTTTGAGGTGCTGTTGAATTTGGTTCACTGATGGTTTTGAATCTACGTTAATCAGGAATATTGGCCTGTAGTTTTCTTTTTTTTGTTGCGTCTTTGCCAGGTTTTAGTATCAGAGACCTGATGCTGGTTTCATAGAATGAATTGCAAAGGAGTCCTTCCTGCTCAATTTTTTGAAATAATTTCAGTAGAATTGGCACCAGCTCTTCCTTTTAGATCTGGTAGAATTTGACTGCAGATACATTTGCTCTGTGCTTTGTTTTTGGTTGGTAGATTTTGTTTTTTTTTGAGACGGAGTCTCGCTCTGTCGCCCAGGCTGGAGTGCAGTGGCCGGATCTCAGCTCACTGCAAGCTCCGCCTCCCGGGTTTACGCCATTCTCCTGCCTCAGCCTCCCGAGTAGCTGGGACTACAGGCGCCCGCCACCTCGCCCGGCTAGTTTTTTGTGTTTTTTAGTAGAGACGGGGTTTCACTGTGTTAGCCAGGATGGTCTCGATCTCCTGACCTCGTGATCTGCCCGTCTCGGCCTCCCAAAGTGCTGGGATTACAGGCTTGAGCCACCGCGCCCGGCCCTTGGTTGGTAGATTTTTAGTACTGTTTTCACTTCAGAACTTGATACCAGTCTGCTCAGGGTTTCAATTTCTTCCTTATTAAATCGGGAGTTTGTGGGTTGCTGGGATTTTATCAATTTCTTCTATATTTTCTAGTCTATTTGCATAAAAGTCTTCATAATATTCTCTGAGTATCTTTTGTATTTCTGTGGGATTGGTTATAATGTCACCTTTGTCCTTTCTGGTTGTGCTTATTTGGATTTTTCCTTTTTTTTTTTACCTTAGTGAATCTAGCTAGCAGCCTACCAATCTTATTTATCCTTTCAATAAAACAAATTTTGGTTTCATTAATTTTTTATATAAATTTTTAGGTCTCAATTTTGTTCAGTTCTATTCTGATTTTAGTTATTTCTTGTCGTCTGCTAGCTTTGTGGTTGATTTGCTCTTGTTTTTCTAATTCCTCTACATGTGATGTTAGATTATTAATTTGACATCTTTCTACATATTTCCTATTGTAGAAATATTAAATTTTGGTAGAACAGCTATGCGGGATGATTTGTTGTGCTGAATGTTAACAACTGGGGCTAATTTAAAAGAACTTTTTCCCTATCAATTTTAAAGCTTCTTTTACTTCCTTATTTCTGAAGCTGTAGATTAAAGGATTCAACATGGGAATAACAGTGCCATAAAATATAGAGGCCACTTTCATATTCTCCTGGGAATTATTAGAATGAGACTGTAAGTACATGTAAGAGAGTGTCCCATAGAAAATGGTGACTGTAGTCAGGTGGGAGGCACATGTGGAGAAAGATTTTTTCCTCCCTGCACTAGAAGACATTTTCAGGATGGTGGCCATGATGTAGATGTAGGAAAAGATGATGACCAACCCAGTGAACATCAAATTAAATCCCACAAAGACAACAAGTAGCATGAGGTTGATGTCAATACTGGAGCATGAAAGGGCAAGAATTGGGGGACCATCACAGAAAAAGTGATTGATGTTATTGGACTTGCAGAAGGACAGAGAAAATGTAAAACCTGTATGTACAGAGGCATTTATTGAGCCCATGATGTAAGAACCAGCTACCAAATGGATGCAGACTCTTCGGGACATGATTATGGTATAGTGAAGGGGCTTACAGATTGCAACATAACGGTCCACTGCCATCATGGCCAGCAGATAACAGTCACTGGTTGCAAATGTTGCATAAACCAAAAATTGTATCATACAGCCCCAAAGTGATATAAAATTCTTTTCTTCCGTGAAGCTTTGGAGCAGCTTGGGAGTGATAGCAGAAGTATAACAGATATCAACAAAAGCCAAATGTTGTAGAAAAAAGTACATGGGTGTTTGAAATCTGGAATCTGTGTTGATGAGTAAGATTATTCCAGTATTACCTGTTATGGAGGTCACATAGATGAGAAGGAATACACTGAAGAGGATATGCCAAAACTCTTGTTGGGCACCAAATCCCAGAAGACAGAATTCAGTCACTTCAGTGCTGTTTCCTCGTGCCATGGCTACCAAAAGTCTAGAAAGGACCAAAAGAAGGACCCAGAAAAGAAGGGAATCTTTGAGACTTCTTGCAATGAAATGGCTCTATATTTCATGTCACTTTTTTCTATTTGGATTTTCATGACAAATACTCACAATAGTGTTATTTACATCTCAAATATAAAAATTTACTTACAATCATCAAGTAAAGAGTGATTTACTTGATGAAAGAGGAAATGAATTTGTCTTGAAAATGAAAAAGTTTGTCTCAGAAGAAGACTGACTTCTAATGTGTGTAGTTCTTAGAAATATAGATGAACAATTTTTCAATATATTAAACAGACATCCATACCTAAAGTAATATTAAAACATAATTTTGTACCCCTTTAGAAACCTATAATTATTCATAGCCACCTACTATTTTAATTTTGGATAAAGCTCTTGAAATTAGTCAAATAAATTACAGTTAAATTTCCCTAAATATGTTCACGCTTTACATATGTTTGAAGTCTTCAAAGTATCTTTGTATTAGTATCCTTAGAATGCAATTCCCATCTAGGTGATATTCTTTACAAGCAAAATAAACCTGTTATATAATGGATGTCTGAGAGCCTTACATTTTCTATTGCTTTTTTTTTTTTTTTTTCCTGTTCTGTAGTGGAGGAACAAGAAAGCAGAAACAATTCTTTTCAATTTAACATTTAGTGAATATTGAGGTATATTAAGTTAGTATAAGTTTCTTCCTAGGGTAAATTTACTGTAAAATGAAAGAAATGCAGTCCTTTCAAAAAGTGTTTCTTTCATTTGGATAAACACTTACTAGAGGAAGCTTGAAGAGGCCAGAAGTCTACTTCAGTTAGAATTTTGACAGAATAATGACATTTATCATATCAATTTGACTTCAATTTGACTATCTGGATTTAAATAAAATAATATGAAAATATGAGGATGCTTTTCAAGAGCTAAGGAAACTAGTGTAACCCCCTTCCAATCACGCACAGAATCTGTACATTTCTATGTTTATATTGAGCTAATTGTTGGCTGGTTCAATATGAAGTAGTTTGTTTCATCTATGTTGAAGGTGTTTTCTAATCAAATGGATGCTACAAAGAAAATGGCCAACGATCTAAGCTTTCTTTAAGCATCCATATTTGGTGGTACATGTGAAGGTTTGTTACATAGGTAAACTCATGCCACGGGGGGTTTACCCTAGCATTTTAAACATGCTTAATATATGGGTAGTGCTGGGTTTCTCAGGCTTCATTAATAGTCAACCTTGTGCAGTGGAAAGGAAATAGGTAACCCTGGTTTTGAATTTTTGTCTCACCAGTTAATGGAAAAAAGCATATAATTTCCTTTGGCCCTAGTTACTTCCCCTGCACAATGGGGATCACAGAACTCATCTAGAAGTTAATTATGTTCATTCACTTGTTTATAGTATCAATAACATGCATATTATATATAATAGAATATTGTGTAACTTGCATTGAAAACAAATTAACAAAAATCTTCTAATAGCAAAATCAGGAAATAGAATTGTATACATTTCAGTAGATTTATATTATTTATTAATACCTAGTCTAAGGCAGAGAGATAAATATGTACTCTTATGGAGTCAAAAGAGAAAAGCATGTTGTAGAAAAATATGTAGATTTGGACCATTTGAAAAACTAAACTCTCCGTCACTCTTAATGTCTCTTGCTTTCATTCTCTTTATTTATTTGTGGATAAATGCCAGAAAATGTGCACACCAAATTCGAGTATAGTTATTCATGGGTGTGGCATTAGGTAAAAAAGAACATTATTTTCTAAACTTACAAACTTCTGAACTTTCACTTTTATAATGGGAATTAATGACCTTTATTGTTTTAAGAATGAAGAAAACTATGTTTTATGTGGTCATTGATGCTCTAAAGTTGCCTGCCATTTCGTTATTTTAACTATTCTTTTTGTTTTTTGTTTCTCTCTTCTTTTTCCTGAGTTTCTGTGGGCCACTTGAACTTTTTCTTATAATCCCATTTTGGTGCAGCTATAGTGATTTTTTTTGTATAGTGTTTTTATTAGATATCTGTATAGCCCTTTTTAGTGGCTGCTCTAGCTGTTGCATTATATGGGCATGGCTTGTTTTATTGTGCTTCACAGATATCGCATTTTTAAAAAATAAAATTAAAGGTTTATGGCAATCCTGCATTAAGCAAGTCTATTAGCAGCATTTTCCAGCAGCACGTGCTCATTTAATATCCTTGTGTCAGCATTTTTAGCAAAAAGTATTTTTATATAGAGGCATATACTTTTTTAGACATAATGCTATTGCACATTTAATAGACTGCAGTGCAGTATAAACATAACTTTTGTATGCACTGGGAAACCAAAATATTTGTGTGACTTACTTTGTTGTGAGAGTCACTTAATTGAGGTGGTCTGGAACGAAACCCACAATGTCTCTGAGGTATGTTTGTATAATCATAACTTGTGTCCATTTTACCAGTTTTAGTGACGTGTGGAAAGTTTACTTCCTTTTTCATTTCTTTACTGTCTCCCACTTATAATATAAATATAATTGTCTTAACCATTTCCTCCACATACACTGAGAACTGCCTTAGACAGTGTTGTAATTTTTGCTTCAACCCTCAATCATCATTTTAAAAACTCAAGATAGAATAAAAGACTGTCATATTTTGCTATTTCTACTTTCTTTTCTTTCTTTTTATTTTTTTGAGAAAGAGTCTCACTGTTGCCCAGGCTGGATGCAGTGGTGTGATCTTGGCTCACTGTAACCTCTGCCTTCCAGGTTCAAGTGATTCTCCTGCTCAGCCTCCCGAGTAGCTAGTATTACAGGTGCCCACCATCACACCTGGCTACTTTTTCTATTTTTAGTAGAGATGGCATTTCACTATGTAAGCCAGGATGATCTCAAACTCCTGACCTCAAGTGATCCGCCGGCGTCAGCCTCCCAAAGTGCAGAGATTACAGGCATGAGCCACTGCACCCGGCCTCTTTCCACTTTCTTAACCTTCTGATGTTTCATGGTTCTTTCATTTAATAACAACTAAAAGAAAGGATATGGAAGAGTGGATAGAAAAATGACACAATCATATTCTGTGTACAAGAAACTCACTTCAGATATAATGATACATGTAGGTTTGAAATAAAAGGAAGAAAACATATCTCATGCAGACATTAATCAAAAGAATGAAAGTATGGCTATGTAAATATTAGATAAAGTATATTTTACAGCAAAGAATATTACCAAGGACAAAGAAGAACATTACATAATAACAAAAGTGCTTATCAAGAAGAAATAGCAATTCTAAATGTGTAGGCACCAAACAAGTAAACTACAACATATATAAAGGAAAAACTGAAAAAAATTGAATTGAGGTAAAGGCCAATCTATAATTGGGGATTTTAGTATTCCTTTCTCAACAATTTGTAGGACTATATAGAAAATCAGCAAGGATATAGAAGAACTTGACACCTTCAGCTAACAGGATATCAGTGACAGTTATAGAACAGTCCATCTCACATGACTAGAATACATATTTTTTCCAGCACTTGTAGAATATATATCAAGATAGATTATACATAATCCATATAATTGTAGAAGAATGGAATTCACACAGTATGTGTTCCTGACCACAATGAGATTGAACAAGATATAAACAACAGACATATAACAGGAAACTCTCCAGACAGTTGGAAACAAAACAATGCATTTATAAACAATCCTTGGGTCAAAGAGGTAGTCACAAGGGAAATACAAAATATTGAACTGGATGAAAATACAATACTTAAAATTTATGGGGTACAGTTAAAGCAGTGTTTAGTGGGCATCCCATAGCACTAAATGCTTACACTAAAAAAGAGAAAAAGCCTCAAATCATCAATAGAATCTTCTACTTGAAAAATATTGAAAAAGAAGAAAAAAATTTAAAATATGTGGAATAATAAATCTAAGAACAGAACTCAATGAACTGGAAAAAGAAAAACAATTTAAAACACTATGAAACAAGAAGCGGGCTTTGAACAAAATCAGTAAAACTGACAAACCTCTAGAAGGTCTGGCAAAGATAAAAGAGAGAAGATACAAATTACTAAGTCAGGAAAAAATGGAGGTATCACTACAGACTCTGCAGACAGAAAAAAATGATAGTAAGAGAATACTACAAACATGAGAAGCATAAACTAACCCATATGAAACTGATTATTTGAATAGCCATACAGTCACGAAGAGAATTGAGTTTATAATTTAAAAACTTCTAAAATATCACTGGAAAACTCACTAAATGTATAAAAATGAATTAACTTAATTCTATACAATTTCCTTCAGAAAACAGATGTGAAAAGAACATTTTCCAACTTATTCTGTGAATCCCGTATTATCCTACTAGCAAAAGCAGACTAAATAGCACCCAAAAAAGAAAACCATAGTTCTGTATCTGTAATGAATATGGACACAAAAGTCTTTTAAAAATTTAGCAAATAGAACTCAGCTATGTGTATGGAATTATACACAATGGCCAAGTTAGGTATATTCAGGTCTAAAGAGAAAAATCACGGGATCGTATACACTGATGAACAAAAAGAATTTGACAAAATTCAACATCTACTTAATATCTTAAAAATCCCTGAAAGCAAGGAAGAGAGGGCAATTTCCGCAACTGATGAAGAACATCTACATAAAAACCTATAACTAACATCCTACTTGATAGTTACCGACTAAATGCTTGCTCCTAAAATTGGGAAGAGGTGAGGATACTCATTCTCTTCAGTGCTATTCAACAGAGTTTGGGAAGTTCTAGTCAAAGGAAAGGATATATAGGCATGAAAGTGATACAGATCAGAAAAGAAGAAATAAAACTGCCATTTGTAGATGACATGATGGTTTATGTAGAAGATTCCAAGAATCTACCAAAAACTTCTTGAAGTAATAAGTGAGTTCAGAGAAGTTGCAGAATACAGGACAGTTCTAAAAAATCCATACTATTTTCATAACAATGAACTTGTGGAAACTGGAATAAACACAACACCATTGATAATAGTTCAAAAAATGAAATACT